TGTGAGAGGGAGGGCGGGGAGGGGGGAGGTCAGGGCCCGCTGGGCCGGGGTCTCTCTCGCACCTGCGTCCTTAGAGCCAGCGCGCCCGGCTCGGTCAGCTAAGAGGGGGTGTCTCTCGGTCTGCTAAGAGGGGGTGTCCCTCGGTCTGCTAAGAGGGGGTGTCCGAGACAGTTGGCAGCTGAGCGAGACCCCTCACAGTTCTCAGGGCAGGGCAGGGGCTACTAACCAGTTGCCCGGCCTGCCCCACCCATGGTTTCCGTGGAGAGGGTGGAGGTAGTACAGTCGGATGACGTGGCGACATAGAGACATACATTCTGGATGACAGTAGACGGAACTCGAACCCAGGATCACAAGACAGCCTTCAGCCCAGATTGCACGTCCGCCCCCCTCCCCAAAGATGGTTTGAGACGAGGCCCTGACGCTGCCTACCCAGCCACTCGCACCCACAGACGGGAATTTTCTGAAAGGGGCCTCCAATGGGGGAAGGGGGCGCTGCCGTCCTCCATCCCAGGCCTCAGCCAGAGCAATGGAATGAACCGAGAGGGACCGGGTCTGACCTCGGTACTCAGGGGGGTGGGGGAGGGACTCACAATCCCCAGCATTTCAATCTGTCCGTCTCTGGCCCTCCAGCATCCCCACCCCACCCCACCCCACGCGGGTGTTCACACTCTGCCTCTCGCTGCCGCAGCCGCGGAGCTAATGAGCACAACATCCACCTATCGATCCGGCTCAGTGCCAGGCGGGCGGGGAGGCTGTGGGGCAGGGGGCGGTAGAACACAGCTTGAGGGGGTGGGGGTCCTTTCCCCTGGCGCCACCCAGGGCATCATTCAGAAAGAGCACCCCGGATGGGTTTGGGGGGATCACAGCCTTGTCTGCAGAGGCAGGAGAGTGTGGGGCTGAGAGCAGAGGGGGCCCTCCCTCCTTGGCCCACCCCCTCCCTCCTTATAAAAGCGAAGAACAAAGAGGCCGCTGGGGATGGAGGCTTTGATCCGACCCCACCTTCCCAGTTCTAGGCCAGGCACCGCCCAGGCTGCCCTTGGGAGGGAGAGAGACGCTCAGCTCTCAGGGACCCAAGCGCTGAAACCCACGGTGCCTCTTCCTGTGGCACGGCCTGGTGCCGCAGTTTGGGCAGTGCCCCAAGTGGGTGGGCCGTCGGTAGCATCCACCCTCTCCTCAGCACAGGAAGCCGGCTCAGGGGGGTGGGCGAGGGTGCCAAGCTCCACAGCTGCTGCTGGCGCCCACTGCACACTGCCCAGAGGGGTGCCCACCGAGGCCTGGCATGGATGGCCTGGGCACAGCTGGCAGGGAGGTCAGGCCAAGCCACGCTGAGAGCAGGGGCCGCAGGGAGTCCTGGTGTCAAGGAAGGGGCCAGGGGGCAGAAGGTTGAGGAGAGCAACAAAAAAGATGGGTGGTTTATTGAGGGTTTGGTCCAGAAACTTATAAAAATACAAACTGGTATGAAATTCAGCCTCGTGGCAAGTCTGTCTTCACGGAAGACAAGTGAGTGGCCCCCTGGAAGGGAAAGGCGCTGCCCTCGGGCAGGGTCCACAGGGCACTGGGCACAGATGGCAGGTCTGGGCGGCTTCCTTGCCCTGGTCCTTCAGTCCACCTGCCCCAGCTCTTCGTCTTGGCCCCCAGCAGGCCCAAGGCTTCAATCCCACCAAATTCCAGTCTTCCTGGGAGATGGAAAGGCCCTCAGAGCAGCTGAGGAGACCTGGGCTTAGCTGGCCTTGGTTCCAGATGCCCAAGGCGGCCGGCAGCTCCCCCGTGGCTCCTCTTCAGCCTGGGACGAGGGGGCCAGCACCGCAGGGGTCACCTCGGACCCTCTGGCTTCCCTCCTCACGCCTCCACCTTGTCTGTCGGGCGTGGCACTCCTAGCTCAGGCGGCAGGGGCTCCTGCTCCAGGGCGTCTTGGGGGGGGCTCTGGCTCCTGGGGTGTCAGGAAAGGTCCACTCGGCTCAGAGAACTCGCAGGAGACGAAGGATTGGGAGCAGCAGCAGCGGCAAGAGACAGAGGGGGCTGGGGGTGCCCCCGCCTTGCCACCCCGACGTGCCACTCTCTCCAGGGCTCCCAACAGGATGAGCTGACTCAGGCTCTGTGAGGGGGAGGGTAGCACCGATGTGTCCTCCATTCCAGCAGCCTTTCACTCTCCCCGTTAGCTGTTCACTCCCATCCTGTTCTCCAGGGCCTTTCAAATCAGCCACTCCCTCCCCATAACCGACCACCTTGCCCTCTCCTAAACCCAGCTTCCGAGTCTCCCCCAAATTGCCAGTGGAGACCACCAGCTCAGCTAAAGCTTTCGAAGGCCTGGCCCCCAGAGATGTGATTTCTGCTGGCCCAGCACACAGACTGTGGTGGGAGCTCCCACAGGCTGCACAGGGGAGAGGGGCCAGAGCTTACAGCCATCCCTGAACCCCTCTTCGTCTCCCAGGCCTTCCCTCCTTCCCAAGAAGGGCCCCCGCCAGAGGGCTGCTCCCCGTGCCCCAACCCACTTACTGCTCTCCTTGCAGCAGACAGACACCTGGAGCCTCAAACACTGGCCAGAACTCCCGGGCGTCGGCACCGCTGGTTGGTGGGAGGAAAAAGTTAGCACAGGCTGGTTTGCAGACCCTTTCAGATCCTCCCAAGTTCTCCTCTCTGCAGTTCCTGGAAAACTTTCCCTTCTCTTTGGGCCCCATCCAGGTGCCACCCATTCATCATGGCTGCTGCTCGTCCCCTCAGCCCCTTTCCTAGCTCTCCCCCCTCGCCCCCCCTCCTCCTCTCTATAGACTCACTCTAGGTGCCCCCTCAGTCCTGGACTCAGGGCCCCTCCAGCCCCCCTCTCTGACCACAGCCCCTCCTGCCTCCCCGGTCCCAGGTCTGGTCTTCATTCCTAGGCCCATCCCTTCTCCACGCCTTAGGCTCTGCCTTGACTGGTGGCAGTCAGGGACCCCTTCCACCCTCCCCCAAGAGGCGCCAGCGTGCCCTTCCTCACTCACAGATGTAGTAGTAGGTCTCTCCAGGCAAAAATTCGAAGCCGAGGGAGAAGGGTGTGAAGCGCTGAATCTTCTCCGAGAACTTAACAGGGCCAAAGGGAGCGAAGGGGAGGGAGCACTCCCAGCGCTTGAAGGCGCCTGGCCCTTGTGCCTGGCAGGCCTCATAGCCCGACCAGTCCACCATGTACAAAGCAAACGTCTCAGGGCCCTCGGGGGGCCCCGGGCCCTCATAGTGCGGGCAGAAGATGTCCAGGTAGTCGTTGAGGCCCAGCTCCACCACAGCGTCTCCTCGAAGCAGCCTGCAGACACAAGGTAGGCGTGGGCTGAGGGGGTCACGGTGGGGCTCAAGGGTCAGGGACACCCTTCCCAAGGGTTTCTGCCAGCCTCTGCCCTGCCGTCTGGAGAGGCCGGAGTTCTCCAGACTGACAACTTCCGAGGGACAAAGAGAGTGCGAGCAGTAGATGAGCGACAGGTGCCCAGGTGCAGAGGTTAAGGACTGCAGGGCTCAGGACCATCGCTCCAGCGTGAGAAGGCCTCTCGCCACACCCTGCCCTTGGTGTTGGAGCTGCCACCATCTCTCCAGCCCGGTGCCCGGCCAGGGCCCGGCCCAGCACCTGTGCCTCATAACTGTTAGCTGGACGGCTGCTGCGAAGGAGCTGGGACAGAGGCAAGGGGTAGAGATGGGGGCCACCGGGCAGCCACGGGGAGGGAGACTGGGAGCAGTATCCCCTTTAAAAGATGCGCAGCGAGGGAGACTGTCCTTGAGCTCTCAGTCCAATGCCGAGAAGAATGCCATTGGCGGAGTGGGTGGTGGGTGCCTCCCTCTTTTCTTTTTTTCCAGGTTCCAGACATGGAGGGGAGCCCCCTGCACACAGCACCCAATCTTCAGCCTCCTCAGGACTCCCTTCCCCACCTCTGGGGAGCTGCCTGGGGGAGCCAGTGCCGGTGGGAAGGACTGGGACATACCCGCCCCCCCCCAGCATCCACTACAGCACGAACCACGCCCCCTCCCGACCACACTGACACACAACCCAGCCTGGTGTAGGAAAGGCCTCCAGCTGCCCCTCAGTGGGTGGTCCAAGGACCACCAGGACCAGGAGTTCTGACTAGAAACGCAGGTTCCTGGGCTCAGCACAGACCCACCGGAGCACACGTCAGGCCGGTGTATGTTTCCTGTCACCGGGTCCTGAGTGCCTGGAGAAGTGTCCTGCACAAGGCCTGCGCTCCATAGATAATTTGTGAATTGAGTGAAGGAGCCAGAAACCTCAGCGTTGGGGGCTAGGACCCTGGATTTTTAACAAGTCCTCTAAGTGACTCAGAGGCACTGGTCTGGAACCAGAGAGAGGAATTCCGAGTTGGAAGACAACAATAGCGCTTATCATATGCTATTGGCATTAGAATGACCTGTCCTGGCGCCTGCCCTCCCCAGGGGGTCTTTGGGCTCTGGGAGGACACAGTCTCCTCTTCTCATCTTTCTAATCCCTGGCCCCCGAGCCCAGGTCCCCGCACACAGTAGGCTCCTAGTAAATGTGAGTGAGCGAATGGATACAGAGTCACAATTTGTCTCAAGCAGATGGAGAGAGCGGAGAGAGGCAGGGCGAACTGGGGAGGGGCATGGACACAGGGATTCACCCGAAGGTGATTCACCCAAAGGCGATTCGGCTAGAAGGGCAGGGCCGAGACTGGAGGGAACTAGGAGGGATACGGACCGAGATGAAAGCAGAGATGCCACAGGAGAGATCAGGAATCAGAGAGAGCGTCGGAGGGCAGGCCCAGCGAGCAGGAGAGTAACTCACACTCTCTCTCCAGAGGAAGGAAAGCCCCCTTCCAGGCTGGAGGGGCGCCGGGGAGTCCCCAGAAGAGCAGCGAGGGGGCGGGGCCCGGAGAACCCGCCAAGGCCCCTCAGCCCAGCTCCAGGAGCCTCCCCACCGTTATTGGGGCTGGGGTTCTC